ACAAATGGTGTTGAGAGCCCTGGACAGCTACATACAAAAAAAATGAAACAAAAGCACTAACTTATACCATACATAAAAATAAACTCAAGATGAATAAAAGATTCAAATATAAATCATGATACGATACAAGTACTAGAGGAGAATGTAGGCAATAAAATTTCAGATATCTACCCTGGCTGGTGTGGCTCAGTGGATTGAGCGCCAGCCTAAAAACCAAAGGATCACCAGTTTCATTCCCAGTCAGGGCACATGCCTGGGTTGCAGGCCAGGTCCCCAAAAGGGGGTGCTCAAGAGTCAACCGCACATTGATGTTTCTCTCTCCCTACCCCTCTCTAAAAATAAATAAATAAAATCTCTTTTTAAAAAAAATTCAGATATCCCATGCAGCAATATTTTCACAGATAAGTCCCCAAGGGCAAGGCATATAAAGAAAAGAACAAATAAACGGGATCTCATCAAAATAAAAAGCTTCTATGTGGCTAAAGAAAACAGCATTTAAATGAAATGAGAACCAACCGTATGGGAAAACATATTTGCCAATGAAACCCTGGACAAAGTTTTGATGTCCAAAATATATACAGAACTCACACGACTCCACACCAGGAAGACAAACAATCCAATTAAAAAATAGGCAAAGGACCTGAACAGACACTTCAGCAAGGAAAACATATACAGGGTCCATAAGCATATGAAAGGATGCTCAACATCATTAGCCATGAGAAAGATGCAAATTAAAACCACAATGACATACTACCTCTCAGCAGTCAGAATGGCCATCATTAACAAATCAACAAACGAGCCGCTAGCAAGGTTTCGGAGAAAAGAGAACCCTAGTATACTGTTGGTGAGAATGCAGATTGGTGTAGCCACTATGAAAAACAGAATAGAATTTCCTCAAAAAAAAAATAAAAATGGAACTGCCTTTTGATCCAGAGATTCCACTGCTGGGATTGTAACGGGAGTGTAAGCTTAACCAGGGCATAGGCTGAGAGGTCCCAGGGTCCCCCACAAGCCTAGTTTGGGGGCTGGGAAAAGCAGCAGCATAGGAATTAAGAGTTATTTTGCATATCAGTAACAGCAGGCTAGCTTCATAGCCCGCAGAGATCCAGGGAGAAATGCATGACTTTGGCCTATGATGTAGCTGGGAGGCAGCTCCACCCCTTACCCCCTTTACAGCACCTGCAGAAGAGCTTGGAGGTGGTTCACTCTGCACCACAGGGCCATGCCTGTCTGGACTAACTATGGCAGCCAAGAAAGGTAGAGAATACAGGAGTGCTAGTAGGTGTAGCTGATCGTGGGAGGAGTCAGATATGGGGTTATGAAGGAAGATCAGTGCCAGGATTTAAACCTAGGTTGGGCAGCCATGCAGGGAGCTTAACAATGTGGTTTCAGGGCGGAGAGGGGCTCTGTTGACCAGGCAACTTAGGAAGCAGGAAAGCAAGATGTAGCAACCATATGGAGCTCTCTCTCAGAGGCTAGAAAGAAAGCAGAAGGACTCCCACCACCACCATGAGGGTGCAGTTTTGGATTAAGGTCGGGAGTCTGGCTCAGCTACAGCCTTCTTTTTCCTGAGATATGGTACCCTTGACTGGCCTGTTTGGGCAAGGGAAGGCAGGACTCTGTGTGTGTTTGTGAGTGTTTTAAAGGGACTTTGGGATTCAATGGCAACATTCTGCCATTACTGTAAACCTATATAACTTGTGAATAAATAATTCCTTTCCTTTTTACCAAACTCCGGCATTGAGAGCCACAGTTCCTAACATGACAGTGAGCAAAGAAGAACCATAGTAAAAGACCCCAGGGGAGGGGTTTGTTTCTATAACAGAATTATATCCTAATAACCCTGAAACACCAATTTAAAACAATCTGTGCACCCCTATGTTCATAGCAGTGTTGTTTACAATAGCCAAGTGCTGGAAATGGCCTAAATGCCCATCAGTAAACTGTGGTACATTGACACAAGAGAATACTACACAGAAGAAAGAAAGAAGGAGCTCCTACCCTTCGCAACAGCGTGGATGGAACTGGAGAGTATTATGCTCAAGTGAAATAAGCCAGGTGGTGAAAGACAAATACCATATGATCTCACCTATAAGCGGAACCTAATGAACAAAACAGAACCAGAGATATGGAAATAAAGAACTGACAGTGACCAGAGAGGAGCAGTAAGAAGAAGGTGTCAGTCAAGGAATATGTACAAAGGACCCAGGGACAAGAATAATAAGATGATGATTGTCTTTGGAAGCCACGGGGCAAAGGAGGGCAATGGGGGAAAACTGGGATAAGATGTCTCAACAACAACAACAAAAAAGGACAAAGAAAGGGTTTTATTTTGCTTTAGGAAGTAGGAGTCTTTTAGAGCCTTTAAATGTTTGTCACAGCAGAGGTTAAAGAATTGACTGGTAAAGGAGGGCTGAGGGTGCCCTAAAGCTTTGGCCTTACCTCTCAACCACAACCAGCAAAACAAACAACAGTCACCACTTTGTTTCCTGTTGGCATTGGAATTGAAGAGGGTGGGGAAGGAACAGGTAAAGATGATCTAACTTGCCAAACTCCTCAACTTAGCCCCACTTTGCTATTTCGCCTGCATCTGCCCTTTTTCTCCCAAGTGTTTGCACCCTGTTTTCAAGACAGGAATTTAGAAGACGTTTTCTTCCTTCCACCCAAGAACCGAGACAGAATCATCAGGGGGCAGATTTTGTCAGAATACCAGGCTATTAAGTGAAAGGTCATAAACAACCCTGTCCAGGAGTGCTCCACTTCAGAACATGTCTTGGCTACAGGCCTGGTGGACAGCTTCTGCCAAGTGAAATAGCTTTTTGACATTTAAGGGAACCCAGGGATAACAGAGCAAAGTGGCCTGTACTGAGTACTGCAAAAAGAGAAAGAAAGAAGAAACTAGAGCCCAAGAGAGGAACTTCGAGCAAGAGCGAGTAATATTAAGATTTTTTAAAACTAAAAGTTTCAGTACTTCATAGATGTGCCCAAATAGATAAATATAGGCATTCCCTTTTTTCTAAGATGTCCCAAATCAACACCACCCTGATCTATTAATACCCACTCTCCCAACCCCTCAAAACTTACCTATTTATACAGCACACACAGTTTGATAATAGTAATGTATTTCTTTGTAAGAGAAACATTTTGATATTTCACTTTATGTACACTTTCATACCTATCAAACTAAAAATTCTCCCAGAAACCATAATTCTGAATTTTAAAAATTACTTTCTAGTGCTCCAGATAATTCAGTGAATACTGTTGACTGACCCAAAACAACTCAGGCCTCATCGGTTAACTTTCTAGAACAGGGTGTCACCTCAAACCCACACACCTTAAGGATCAAAATGTTCCCTTTTTTGTTCGTGGGAGTTGATGCTGTACGTGTGTGTCTCCAACAGTCCTGGTGCCTGATTCTTGGGGGTGAGTTGTAACTTGTTAGCCTTGGATATCAACCCAGTTAGGGGGTATAAGGAAGAAGAAAGGATTCTTAACAGCAATGAATAGCCTTCTTTCTGCTGGTAGGGTAGGATTTCTATACAACTAATGCTTCTTATTTACTTCCCCATCTCAGTCTTGGGAACATCATCTTCCTCCTTCCAGCACCACACAGGAACCAGAATGGGTGGGGGTAGGGGGGCAGTTTCCAGGAATCAAAGAGAGAAGAATCCCTGTAACTCTGCATACAAGGTTTTCCTATCACATTTACAAATAAGTTCTCAGGAGTCAGCTCTTAAGACATTTCATGGCCAGCTAGGGAAAGACCCATCTGACAGATGTCAAATAACACAGGGTGAGGACTCAGGGTTTCCTTTAATTTGAACATATGTTCTAATGACCTGTCTTCCCTTTCCTTTCTTACCATTTTCCAAACAGGTCAGGAACTTTCAAAAGATAGAAAAATTCTTCCTTCAAACGGGTGTGTGACTATTTCATCCACTAACACTTTAGTTGTAAACAAGAGAACTTTCCTGCTTTTAACTAACTTGAAGGCTGGGAGGAGTGTGAGCTACAGATTTAGGTACAGACCCTTGATTAATGAGTGGGAGAGGGAATGAATGCCCCCAAAAATGTGACAGTGATTTTAAAAAGTGAAAAGAATGAAGCATCCTTTTTTGCCCCTTTCCTGAAAAAGCAGGGAGAGAGGGAAAAATAATCAGAGCCTAAAAAAACACATTAGTAAAAAAGGTCATGAGGTAGCTTTGCAAGTAAAAAGTGAAGAGATGAGGGTATAAGCTACAGGATGTGAACACACCCTTACTATTTCCGTTCCAGAGAATAGGTGCGGGGCGGGTGTTCCAGAGGGACAGCACAGGCCAACAGCCAGGTGCCTACAGCCGGGAGTCCCCAGTGTCTGAAAAGAGGGGAAAGGCCAATCAACCACACACACCCGTTTTCCAATGAGGACTTGATTGTGACAAGTTCTACTCGCCTTCACACAGCTTTTCTCGTTTTTTAATATAGATGTGGGGCAGTAGAAAGACGAAGGGGGTCTTTCTGAACAGTAACGCCTAATGTACCGTTCAAGCTCTGGAATTGTTTTTCACACGGTTTGTCACTTGTGAATAAATAAGCGCCTCTCTAAATTAATTGCCCTGGCTAAGGCGTGTCAAGAAATTCCCTCATGAGTTCATTTTCCTTTTACGTCTAAACACTGCTCCCAGCCCAGAAGCGTCTTCATCTGCCCTCCTAAAGCCACTGGCCCTGGATGCATTTTAGGGTCAGCGAGGACCTCCTTCCTCCGAGCCTAAGGGAAACCGCTTCTCCGCCGACCGTCCCCCGCCCCCTCCGCTCAAGGCAACAGTGCTTAACAACCATTTTCCCCGCCAGGAGCACTCCGTGTCCACGCACTGCTGCAACCTCGCTGATTGGCCAGTCTCCTGGTAAACAAGGTCTGGACAGCCAATGAGAAGGCTGTGCACGAGGGTAGCACGCGCTTCCAGGGCTAGCGCTCGCGGGGCCCCGCCAGCCCGGGCTACTATATAGAGCAGTTTCCTGGTTGTTAAAATTATCTTCTCGTAGCCGTGGTTTGAGCTGAGTCAACTGGCTTGCAGAGACTCGGAGCGCTCTTTCAGCTATTGGAGGAAACGAAAGAGCTTGTTTTTCTCTTGAAATCCCTTGGAATAACTAACAGCTTTAATTGTTTCCACTTCTTTTCAAAAATTGTTGAGTCTTCTGAAGAGGATAATTATTTCCGAGGGTCCTTGGATTTAGAGTTTTGTTCCTCCCACCCTCATTTCTAACTTTTGCGCCAACCCAGTTTAATCATGGTGATGTTCAAGAAGATAAAGTCTTTTGAGGTATTCTTTAACGATCCTGACAAGGTGTATGGCAGTGGGGACAAGGTAGCTGGCCGGGTGATAGTGGAGGTGTGTGAAGTCACTCGAGTCAAAGCTGTCAGGGTCCTAGCTTGCGGAGTGGCCAAAGTCCTCTGGATGCAGGGATCGCAGCAGTGCAAACAGACCTTCGAGTATCTGCGCTACGAAGACACGCTTCTCCTGGAGGACCAGCCAGCAGGTGAGTCGCCCAGTTCTTTGCCGGAGGGTGAAAGCTGTTTTGAGAAGAGATAAGAACCGAATAAAGGGATCCTATTCTAAGTATTCTAAGTTGTTCTGGTTCAGTGGTGTGTGAATTTGGTGTTGCATCCGTACCTTTTTATATTTTAACTTGCAACCCCCCCCTAAAAAAGGTCAGTTTGTCCAGTTTCTTAGGGTGGCCTGATGTGAAGGTAGTTTTGCGGGATGTTTCCTTAGCTAATTAAAAATTTTTTGTATGCCTAAGTTACTTACTCTTTGCCCAAGAATTCCTTATCATACAGATGTATTTTAAGTGTAACAAGAAACCTAACAGCTACTCACCTTTCTCTCCCTTCAGGTGAGAATGAGATGGTTATCATGAGACCTGGAAACAAATATGAGTACAAGTTTGGCTTTGAGCTTCCTCAGGGGTAGGTATAACCTAAATACATCTTTGGGCTTTTCTATCATCCCTTTTTTTGATTTGGGGGAGTATTTTTTGAATTGTTCCTTTTTCTTGACACAGGCCTCTGGGAACATCTTTCAAAGGGAAATATGGGTGTGTAGACTACTGGGTGAAGGCTTTTCTTGATCGTCCCAGCCAGCCAACTCAAGAGACAAAGAAGAACTTTGAAGTGATGGATCTAGTGGATATCAATACCCCTGATTTAATGGTGAGGTTCATTTTAAGATTCTGTTATCTTGGGTCTCAGGGATGAAAGTCACATGTCTTGGGTCTTAGATTTGGAAGTATCTCAGGGAATCAAGTCCTAAGTCATCAAGGGAGGGAAAGCTGCCTTCTCTAGGTAAGCAGTGGGAGGTAAAGAGAAGCTAAGAAAGGATCTCTAGGAATTCTCAAAACAGCTTTTAATCCCCATTCTACATAGGCACCAGTGTCTGCTAAAAAGGAGAAGAAAGTTTCCTGCATGTTCATTCCTGATGGGCGGGTGTCTGTTTCTGCCCGAATTGACAGAAAAGGATTTTGTGAAGGTAAAAGCCTAGTCCTTAAAAAATACAGACTGACGAAATAGGAATTTGTAGATTTGGGATTAGAGGCAGGAACAGAAGAAAAGTCATTAACTGTACTTTTCATCTCTCATTTTTAGGTGATGAAATTTCCATCCATGCTGACTTTGAGAATACATGTTCCCGAATCATTGTTCCTAAAGCAGCCATTGTAGCCCGCCACACTTACCTTGCCAATGGCCAGACCAAGGTGCTGACACAGAAGTTGTCCTCAGTTAGAGGCAATCATATTATTTCTGGAACCTGTGCATCATGGCGTGGCAAGAGCCTTCGGGTACAGAAGATCAGGCCTTCTATCCTGGGCTGCAATATCCTTCGAGTTGAATATTTCCTGCTGGTGAGTGGGTGAGGCTGGAGAGAGAAAGTAGTTCATATGAAAAAATTGCAGTAGTGTTTTTTCCAGATCTCTAATCGAACTGCTTACTTACTTTCTAGATCTATGTTAGTGTCCCAGGCTCCAAGAAAGTCATTCTTGACCTACCATTGGTAATTGGCAGCAGGTCAAGTCTGAGCAGCCGGACCTCGAGTATGGCCAGCCGAACCAGCTCCGAGATGAGTTGGGTGGATCTAAACATCCCTGAGACTCCTGAAGGTGAGCCAGACCTAATGTCTTGTTTTACTCTCCAACCTGGTTGGGTTTGTGAGATTGCAAAGGTCAAGCATTTCTGGGCCAGGTTTCTTACCGTTTGTTTGTTTTCTTTCCTCTTTTTTTCTTCTCTCTAGCTCCTCCTTGTTATATGGATATTATTCCTGAGGATCACCGATTAGAGAGCCCCACCACTCCTCTGCTAGACGACACAGATGGTTCTCAAGACAGCCCTATTTTTATGTATGCTCCTGAGTTCAAGTTCATGCCACCACCTACTTACACTGAGGTAAGAATTGTCATTTTACCACGCTACCTTTGTCCTAAGTCTTCAATAGGAAGTTGACTTGGATTGGTAAAGTGGGGTTTTCTTTTAATTATTATCCAAACTTAAAATGGTATTTCTTTCTTCCTCCCAGGTGGATCCCTGCATCCTCAACAACAATGTGCAGTGAGCATGTGGAAGAAAAGAAGTAGCTGTATCTGCTTGTTTCTTTTCATCTCTTCCTGGACTCTTCCGTTTCAGGGAGTCAACAGTCTCCATAAGTGGGGGTTGGGTCCACCCCAGCCTCTGATTTCCCAGTGTAAGAGGTGACCAGCAGGCAATCTCCTGGGCCTTGAAGAGGGTGCATACTCATCCTCAGCCAGTGAGATGATATGTGATTCAGGGTGTTTACTAGATGGGTTTTAAAACACTCTAGAAAAATTTAGGCCCATCCTGTTTTCTCAAATTTTGAAAATTGAGGTATATTCAGTAGAAATGGCCTCTTGGCATGGTCTTACCAAGGTTTGTTTGGAGGAGAATATAGATGTTGTTATAATGATATCAGATCTTGAGTTCCTTGCTGTGTGGAACAGAGCCAATTTAAGAGCAAATTGGGAAAATGAAAATGGGGGGAAAATCATATTCAAAACTTTGGGAAAAGGGGGTTCTTAACATTTTTGCCTTTATTCGTACATTTATAGGAAGGAAAAAAGCACTCCAGAGCTGATTTAGTCTGGACTTTGGAGAGCCTCTTATGTGAATTAAAGGGAAGAAGCTCTAAGGGTGTCTTTTGCTAAGAATATACTTTAATCTGGCCTAAAGTATTAGTAAGCCCTACCAAAGGTCTTACAGCCATTTTTAGAGCCTATTGCACTGTGTTTTCCTGTTGAAAATGTGGGAGAATGTGTTTTTCTTTTCATGTGAGTCCTTGGAATTGATTCTAAGGGAATGTTTTTAGCACTTTAGTTTCTGTCATTTTTTTCTTTTTCTATCAAAATGTAAGCTAAAACTGGTCTTACTATGTCCTTAGGGATAAGCACAAGGACAAATTTTTAAAAAAGTTGCTTATTTTGAGATTTCATCCCATGTACAGAATTCTATAATTCTGACACTCATATGAGAAGGGTTACTGGTATCAATCAGCCTTTCCCACTGTGACTTTTTCATACCTAAGGAAAAACTCTAAATCAAGATGCCCCAACACTGATCAGAGCCTTCAGACATTGCCATGAGAAACTGGAGGGCAGGTCTTCAAAAAAGTCCCCAGGGCTTCCTTTTCCTAACCAGTGTTAGGAGATGGGGGATGTTAAGAGTCCCTCTCTCACTACAGTCTTTAGCACTTTGTTCCGTCCTGTGTTAGAGCACTGAGCTCCACTCTTTTGTGAGAAAGTGTGTGGACTGAAGGTGGTTTTTTTTGTGTGTGTATCTTTTTGTATGGTAAACTATGTATTTTGTACTTAACCAGATGGATTTTCACCCCAAGTAGGGGTAGTCTTTGTAAAAAAAACAAAATAAAAATAAAGGTTTTTTAATGGCAAAAACTGTTTTCCTTGTCTGTCAGATGGCGGTGGAGAACTTACTAGAAACTGCCTGAAGTAGTGTTTCTCCCCTGCTTCACAACTCATTCTTGAAAACCCATAAGAAATATTATCTATTGACCCTAATGAATGTAGTCAGAGTGTGGGTCTGGAAAGGTGTAGAGGGAAAAAATTTGAGCTCTATTTAGCCTTTTCCAGTTCTATAAAGAGCTGGCTGGGCCCTAGCTGGGGTGTGGCTCAGAGGTTGAGTGCCAGTCTACGTACCATGGGTTGCCAGTTCAATTCCCAGTCTAGAGCACATGCCTGGGCTGCGGGCCAGGTCCCCAGTAAGCAACCACACATTGATGTTTCCCTCTCCTTCCCTTTTCCTCTCTAAAAATTAAAAACAAACAAAAAAAAAACACAAAAAACTAGCTAGGATCTTCCAGTGACCTAAGCTAGTTTTCTATATCCACAGCTAATCATTATTAAATTTATTGATTTTGGAGTGCATGAATTTTTTGATGAGCTCTTGAAATACAGGGAAATGAGGTTTTTGGTGGGATTTGGTAGGAAAGGTTTATGTTCCCATATTTTATAACTTGGCTTTATCATAGTTTCTTCCCAGTGTAAACCTGGTTTTCATGCAACAAGACTATTATTCAGGACTTAAGGATTTAGAGTTGTATTAAATTTTTGAAGGCTGCTCCTAATATTTTTATCTCGGCAGTTTGTAGCACAGTACCTATCCAAGCACATAATCATAACTCAGTAAATGTTTGCTGAATATTCAACCCTACTCATCCATTAGGATGTATGCTTCAGCAGTTCCTATTTCTTCCTTGTAGGGTATTAATAGATTACCACATAATTCCACCTCTAATTGAAATTTTTATTATTTCTAAAGGAATGAGTAGGATGGGAAACCCTGAAATGGCAGGGGTTAATGTACTTTTTGATTTCTGGCTCATTTAAACTTGTAGACAGATCTAGTCCTGGCCTTTATTTGGGATTTGGCTTTACTGTGGACCTCTACATACTAATTCCAAACCTCAGATTTCTGGAAATCCACGAAGTCAATGTAAATTGAAGAGAAAGTGAAATTGAAAAGATTCTTCATTTCAGTCTTTGTGCTAGTCTTTCATTCTCAGCGCTTTTCCTCTTTTCCTGGCTTTCTTTTGTTTTTCCTTACCAAGGTGTCAAAGTTTATAGCCACTTTTTGGCCACTCTTTATTGCCACTGTGACTCTCACCTTTACTCTTACCCCTGTGTCCTTAACTTCAAGAATCTATTGGCTCCTCCCTTTTTCAAGTCTGTGACCAGGAAACTAGGTCAAAGTTAATGGAAAAGTTTTTACTGCAGCTGGTTCTCCAGGGACTGGAGAGGTGGAACAAGAACCAAGAGCAAGCCAGAGGGCAGAACTAAGGGATGGAGAGACCAAGGAGCACAAAACTCAGTTGTTTGTGTACACATCTTGCTACTGGTAACTAATTTGAGAAGGGGATGACAGGGAGCAGGCGGGTAACATACCCAGATCAGCTAGAGATAAAATCCTCTAAGAGCCAGAACATATGCATACCCTCCTGATTCCTTCATACCTCAAATCCAGCACTTCCAATAGAACTTATTATGATTACAGAAATGTTCTGTATTTGTGTTAATATGGTAGCCACTAGCCAGCCACACATGGCTATTGAGCTCTGAAATGTGGCTACTGTGACTGAAGAACTGAATTTTTATTTTTAACTTAATTTAAATGTAATAAACTCCATGTGATTAGAGACTACCATATTAAACAGTGCGGCAAAATCTTAGGAAGGAAGGAAGTAGCTACTGCTGTTACCCAGAAGAAACTCACCCTTCCCTTAGAGTGTAAAAGTCCCCACTGGACTTCCTTTCGATTTCTACACACAACTTCTAACTCACCTCAGGTCATTTACTGTATGTAGGTTTGCTTAAGTACATTTCCCTGGGTACTGGCCCAGCTGTTTCTCCACTGAGGTGGGCAGATATTTGGGGTCTTCTTTTCCCATGCTCTTTTCATATGTCTTTCAATTTTTTAAGTGCTATAACTTCTATGTACAGCTATTAGAGGAGATCCAGTTCTTAGTATCATATATTCATTAGGTCCAATGTGGTATAGGAAGAATTGAGAGAAGACAGAAAACTATATAAAGAAAGGAAAAAGCTAAAGAAAGTAAAATGAACAAGGGCAGGTACTTGACCAAGCAGGGTCCATGGCTACCTTGATACCTCTGAACAGACTGGAAACACAAGGATGTAGTAATTTGGATTGAGGCATTGGGAGGCAAAAGTGTGGGGAGAGGATCTGACCAAGCATCTGGTCAATAAAAACAATCACATGGTAGCTGAAGAATATGAAGTGGGGTGAAGGAGTGACTTTTGTCCAGTTCTTTCAACAGCATACAGACCTTGTCCTGGTGTTCTTTCCTTACACCATCTCTAAGTGATAGAATGCATAAGGTAGATAAGGAAAATATTTTACTGCCCCTTCAATGGCCCAGACCCTGTCCCAAGCATCCTGACCTCAATAGTTCTGGAGTGGGAGAGCAGAAACCTTTGTCTCATTGTCTCTTCTGTTCCATATCCACCTCTATTTCCTAAGCTAAAAAAACTCCCTCTCAGAGATGGCTGCAGATCCAGGGCCACAGGTCCTGACCCAAGAGATAAATCTGTAGCCTAAAAAAAATGTCAAGGATTAGCCTTCCTATGATATTAAGGAGAAATAGTGTTACTGTACCGTACTAAAGGGGTCCATTCATCTGTGTACATCAAAGCCGAATAAGACATGGACAGGACTTTGCAACAAAGAAAGTAAGGGTTCATTTTTAGGAAGTGGTCCTCACTGGGAAACAGGTTAGCTAATGCTCAAAGACCTGGCTCCCCATGGTTTCCAGGTTATGGGTTATATAGGAGAAAATATCAATTATGGTGATTAAGAGAGGGTCATGGTCAAAGTTGTGGCATTTACTAATTGGTCAGTGCTAGAGTAGGGGGTAGTTGATCACAGCATCTGGTCCTGGTGTCAGCCATGGCATTGCATTGTCTTTTCTGGGCCTGGGTCTGAAACACAACTGAGGCCTAGATATTACCTTTAGTTTGATCAATGTTAGAAATTATCAGACCTCATTGTCCTTACAGAAAATCCAAAGACACATGAAATGATGTTCAATATCACTAGCTATCAGAGAGATACAAATTAAAACCACAATGAGATACCACTTCACACCAGTCAGAATGACCATCATAAACAAAACAACAAACAACAAGTGTTGGAGAGGATGTGGAGAAAAGGGGTCCCTAGTGCACTGTTGGTGGGACTGCAGACTGGTAAACCACTATGGAAAGCAGTATGGAACTTCCTCAGAAAACTAAAAATGGATCTGCCTTTTGACACTGCAATTCTACTGCTGGGACTCTATCCTAAGAATACTAAAACACCAATGCATAGGTTCCAAAAGAACCTATGCATCCCAATGTTCATAGCAGCACAATTTACAATAGCTAGATGCTGGAAGCAACCAAGATGCCCATCAGTAAATGAATGGATCAAAAAACTATGGTACATTTACACAATGGAATTCTATGTAGCAGAAAGAAAGAAGGAGCTCCTACCCTTTGCAACAGCTTGGATGGAGCTGGAAAGCATTATGTTAAGCGAAACAAGCCAGGCAGTGAAAGACAAATACCATATGATCTCATCTTTAACAGGAACCTAAACAACAAAACAAAGAAACAAGCAAAATATAACCAAAGACACTGAAATAGAGGACAGGCTGAGAGTGACCACAGGGGAGAGAAGAGGGAATTTCAGGGGAAAATGGGTAGGGTTCACGGGAACAAATTTAAAGGACACATGGACAAAAACTGGGGGAGGGTGGTAATGGGAGGGAAGTGGGGAGGGTTGGGAGGGTGGGCGGGATTGGGAGTAAAAGGGAGAAAACTGTACTTGAACAATGATTAAAATAAAATTTTTTAAAAAAAGAACCTCATTGTCCTGAAGGCTTAATAATTAAGGGATATGTCCTGCAAGGGAGAAAGAAACAACAGGTGAGTCAGGATGTCATTTTAAATCAAAAAGAAAGGAGAAAAGGTAATGTTAAAGAAAGTTTTTACTGGGTTACAATAGTATATAGTGCAGTGATTTTCAACCGTGTGCCACAAGAATTTTTAAAACATGCAGTACCTGACTATTTAGTCAGAGACACTGACATCTTGTACCTTAGATTGTTAAATAAGAAAATAACAACCAACACAATAGTCATTGGGTATGAATGAATCACTATTATACTTATTTTTTTTGTCAGATGAGCAAAAAATATATTTTTTGGTGTGCCATAAATTTTAGTAATTATGTGTGCTATGAGATGAAAAGGTTGAAAATTGTTCATACAGTGTGGTAGTGAAGCAAATATATCCTAGATGCAAACTTTCTAAATTCAAATCCTATTTCTACCACTTACTAAGCTGTATGACTTTGAGCAACTTGTTTAACCTCTGTGCTTGTTTACCTGTAAAATAGGAGATAATAATAGTACCTACCTCAGAAGATTATTGTGAAGATTTAAAAAATGTATGTGAGGTGTTAGAACAATAGCAAGTGTTTATTATCTTAAATAAAAAGGAGGCATATCCTCCACCACCACTACTGACACCTTGATAAGTTCATTCCCAACCATATCCCCAAAATTGTTCTTCCTCTTTAAACCTATCAGAAGTAAGGCCATTATTTCTTTCTTCCTCTTGATTCATTTTCTGTGTTTGGGAAACAAAACAGTCTGAGAGGAAGTCAGTGTATAGAAGCTGACTCAGCCTGGAGTTCATTGTGGTAGAGGACAGGGAGCCTACTGTTGGGATTCCCATCCCCAGTCCAGGATAGGGCTTCTGCATACCTTTAAGTCTTCTTGCTTCTTCAATTTCTCATAACTTCAGTGTGCTTCTCAGGCCTCTGAAACCTGGAAATTAACTGAGTTTTCTTAACTTTTTCATATACAACTCGAGAA